GCAGGAGTCTGTTCACCTCCTACACCGTCATAAAGTCACTGTTGCTAAAAACACAGGTCCTTTGGACACCCAGTAAACGCCGGGCAGAACAACCATTTGCACAAAGAAATCTCAGTGAGATTAGCTTTTCCTGTTCATTTGAATGAGGTGTAATATTCAAATTCCTTAGAACACCCCCGAGGCCCACTCCCAGGGATGCTGGTTTCATGTCTGGGTCTGTAGTAGCCTGTTACAGTTTCCATCAAGTGTAGCCATAGTTATCCAGTTCTAAACCAGCTTCTAGAACTTTTGCTCAAAAACTGGTGTTAAAGTGCCTCAATGACAACCTCCCAAAACTTCACAAAGCCTCAGGTCCACCCAGAACACTGCCCCACCTGGGATGGCCAGCTTCGTATTTTTATTCCTCTTACATTTTCTTTAAAAACAACAGAAGAATGTAGTATTACAACAAAACTATTTTTCTCAAAACCCAAATTGGGTTAGCATTGCTTAGAGTATCTAATACTTAGGCAGACTGGGGGAAATCCCAGAGCTTCCTCACGGTAAGATGTTGCTTCTAGGGTTAACCTGGTACCAAATGTCAAGGGACTCAGCCCCCACCCTGTGGCCATAGGCCGATGCCCGGTGTGGCTCTCCCAGGAGAGAATCTTGGGGCTCTGGGCCCCTCTGTGCAGCCGATGCATGTCAGAGGCAGAGATGACCCAGACCCACACCTTGTCGCACACTGCACGTTGGCAGAGCCTGCTGCTGAGGGCCGTCGGGCACAGCAGGGCTGGGCCTTTTATCAACTCGTATTTCAGGCTGGGTCAGAGAGGAAACTATGTATGCGGCACCGACCGGCATTCAACTGAGTCACTCGAAAATTAGTCAAATCAATCCAGGTAGTGTGTGTTTTTCTTTTTTCTGTTTCTTTCACAAACAACATCCAGAAGTTTTTTAGCCACTTATTTAAAATGTTAATGAAGAAACATGTGAATTCCAGGGCACAGAAATGAGTGGCTGACTCAAGAGTTACACAGACACATAAGACAAGTTCTAAATGCATCGAGAGGTGCGAAACCGAGGACAGCAATCGGCGTTTGGGGAAGAGCTGTTTCTGCCGTAGTTCTCGGTGGTGAACAGCACGGCCGCCGCGATGGTGCTTCACCCAATTGCAGTGGCCGCCATCGATGTGACTTTGCTTTGTAGGGATCTACTGCGATCAGGGTTCCACCTGTCCCTCCCCAGAGGCCCATGGCCCTCCAGACAGTGGCCCGCCCGGGGCGGAACACAAGGACAGGCACTCGGGAATAGGGCCCCGGGGAGTTCTGAGGGGCGCGCCCAACCCAGGTGCAGATCCAAACAGTTACCCACAGTGGGAGGACCTGGCTCCTGAGCAAATGCTCGGGGAATGTGTTAGAATTTCCCCAAATACTGTAAAAGAGAGAAAGTGCTAGTACCGTATCACTTGAAAGACCAGTGTGGCTAGGAATTTACACCTGCACAAGTCAGCTCTGCCCCCGTGGGAACGGCCTGTAGTGTCGAGCAGCAGATGGGCAGGTGATGGGCAGGTGATGGGCAGCAGATGGGCAGGTGATGATGGGCAGGCGCGAAGCTCCACCTGGGGCGGAACAGCACGAGCCCACCGCAGGGCTGTAACCCACCCAGAGAGCAAGCTCAGGTGCCGAGGCGGATTATGAAAACAGGGTCTTGTCACCGTATGTAGTGTGGACAGAGAGGATTACAGCGCTCTTGCCAGCAGGTCACCAGGGACATTCCTAGTTTGGGCTTATTTAGTCTCTGAGAATCGTTCCTTCATAACAACTTGGTGCCCACGATTCCTCCTGGCAGCCCGGGGACAGTGGCATTCCGCTCCCCCTGGGCTTGTTTCACCCACAACCGCCTCACGTCTACTGCAGGGACCCGGCCACCCTGACTGCAGGGAGGCAAGAGGGCAGAGGCCGCCTGACTCGGCCCGTGCACGTCCACAGTCCCATCACAAACCCCCCTGTCCTCCTGCCCAGGAGGGGCCCAAGGCTGAGATGAGGAAGGCGCTGCAGTTCTGATCGTCGCATTCCTGAGGTATCCACAGTGTGGCCCCGAGCCCGTCAGGAGCAGCTTGAGAAGAAATAAAAGGTCCATTTCTCTAGTGCAGGGACGGCCTCCGCACACCCAGATAATTCCAGACGAACTGTTCCATGCCGCTCCCTCCTCCTTCCTGGTGAGTTTAGTGCAGGGCTGACCATGGGACACTTAATTCGCAGAAGTAGAAAAAACTGTCATTCTTACTCCACGTGCTCCGTATCAGACGGGCGGGGGCGCGGGCGGAGACAGCTCTGGAGGTACAAGTGACGAACGGCCCATCTGTCTTCTCCGACGGCCATCTCCACTCACTTGGAGGTGGATGTCGTTGCTAACACAAGGGTTCACAACCACAGGAGGCAGCTCAGAGGCACTATAAGTGACTTCCCATCCACCCCAAAGCCATTCCAGCTGCCAGAGTCCCTGATCTCCAAAACCAAGGAAAGGTCACCAGAAGGGGGGTCCTGGGCATCTCACTCATAATCAGCAGCATCAACATTGTCTCAGAAACATTTCTTCTGTCCAGTTTAAGCATAATTTACTCAAACACTAAAAAGTATTAAAACATACTTCAACTTTTCCTCTAACTATATTTATATATAAATCCCTGAGAAGGTACCTGTCAACTTCACTATTTACAGTTAAGAAACCCCAGGGCTGCGCGCAGAGACCTGGCGCCGCCTCCCTCTGCGCGGCAGGGACTGCGCTGTGCAGGTCAGGAGAGCAAACCAGGCCTCCCCGCCCAGCAAAAAGGGGGTGGACGGCTGTGCGAAACTCCAAACCGCAGCACAGAGGCAGCGAGGGCTGCCGATCATTCACTCTGGGAGATGTGGTGGTCACTGGACGACCCGGCAGGGATGCCGTATCGCCTCATATGAGCTCCTTGCTGTTCTGTCCTTGGGAGACCTCAGGGGAGGTGGCACCAGGATGGCCAAGGACATTAGCCAAACTGGGAGCAGAAAACAGACAAAGGAAGAAAAGGTAAATGAGGAAGGAGAGAGGAGGCAAAGGGGGTGGCAGGGAATGAATGTGGTGACAAAGCCAGAGGGGACACTGTGTGGCCCAATAGGAAAGGAGAAAGAGGGTCAGTGCCCACCAGTCCCCTTCCCGCATGGATGACATGGGGGTGCAGAAAGGTGACCCCTCAGTGAGTAAATGCATGGGCAAACCTCTGTCCTTGCACAGACCTCTGTCCGTGTGTCCACGTGCTCCTGCAGAGCCCTCAGCTCCAGGGAGGACGAACTCCAAATGCCGCCCTGTGGAGAAGCACCCGGACTTCCCTCCCTGCCCCCTGCCGCCCACTCCAAAGAGAACAAGAGCAAAAGCCTCCCTGCAGAGCGAGGAATAGAGTTGGCAACACTCTCCTGGACTTGGAAATTTCCTCTCGTAGCAAATCTACTTCCACACGACAAAAATGAGACGTGCCGGGCCAGCTGGTGGTGAGCAGCGCTGCGGAAGCTGCCTGGACCCCACTTCGTGAGACCAAGGGCAGGGCTGCCTGCAGGCAGGCCACGGATACGACTCCAGTCTGGAGAGAGGGACCGGTCTGTAATATTCTAAATCTATGGCTGCCAGGTATTTAAATTAAACATTTAAATAAAGTGCACACACCACAGCCACTCTACAACCTATGTGGCCAGAGACTCATGAGAATCAGAATTTCAAAGTGCTTTGGAGATAATAGTATGGACAGAAAACCCCCACTGAGAGCTTGGGGCGCAGGACAGGCAAATCACATCTTGGAAACACTATGAAGTCGGCATGAGGATGAACTAAACATCGGGGTAGTCATCACGGGAAAATAAAAGTAACGTCCACAAAAGGAACTCTTTGCACCTGAGTCTGGAGGAGGGGCTGCCCTGTCCACTCCAGGAAAATTTGGCTGAAACGAGTTTGCTTAAAATTACAGTCTAGTCACCCGTTCTGAAAATCGCCCCATCAGTACTGTGCATCACTCTGGGTTCCTTATTCTTTTTGCATCTTTTTTACATTTTAAGGATATCTGAATTCGATTTGTTTAAGAGCACATATGACTTAATTTTGTAATTCTAGTAATTATTTATTAAATTTGCCCCCATTTTATTAAGTGATAGCTTTTTCTCATATCTACTGTTTAATATGTTTAAGATGTTGCATCCGGTTTATCTAAAACCCTTTGCTTAAAATGAGTTTAGTTCCAGCAATAAATATATGTTTATCTCTGCACTGTGTTGTAATTTAACAATATAAGTTTTTCTTCATTGTATTTCACTGTATGGAAAAGAGAGTTTAAAAAACGAGAGACAATGAGATCAGATCTGTCTCACGTGATCATTCTGCCGTGCAGGTTGACGCCTCCATCAAATACGAGTATTTGTCCTCACTCATCTAATTAATAAGAACATTCAGGGCACATGTGTACCCACAACAAGAAAAGGAAAGACAAAAACAGCAAACAAAAGGGGAAAATTCCCACTATTTCTGTGTGAACCCATACAGCTATCACAAATATTTATTGCTAAAAACAATATTTTAAACAAAGGGTCTTCAGAAAATGAATTAAAACTGCCTTAAATACAAAGAGCCTCATCACTCGTAAAATGCTGCAAATTTGATAAATAATGATGAAAAATACAAAATTATGCAGAAAACGCCCTCTGATAAATCGGTTTAAAAAAAATTCTTAATTGATTCTCTAAAGGGAGACTTTTAAGCAAATTGCCCGCTGGGTGCACTGATTGCTCGAACGGGTCTTAGGCCAACCGATTGGCGCCACCCCCGTCCCCGCGTGGGGTCAGCCCGAACAGACAGCGCGGAGACCTGGGCCGCGGTGTGGTCGCGGCCGGGGACTGTCACACCGAGCTGCGGCCCGTGCAGCTCAGCCGGGCGCAGGGCAGGCGGCGGCGCCCCCTTCCGCACCGAGCCCCCCGCGGGTCGCGCCCTCGCCATCCCCGCGCCGCGCGGGCTCTGCGCCCGCAGCCGCTCGTCCCCCGCCCGGCCGGACCCTCACGTCCTCTTCCTCCAGGGCGGCGCGCGCCTTTCCTTCTGCGCCTCGGCCAGGCGCTTCTTCTCCGCCTCCTCCGCCTTCCTCTTCTCCTCCTTGGCCTCCTTGTACCGCCACTTGGGGATCTGCAGGTGGGCGCTGTCCTTGGTGCTGCTCTTCCGCGCCGGCCGCTCGGGCTGGAAGGTGGGCGCCGGCGCCTTGGTGATGCGGACCCTGGGGACCACGACGCCCGGCCGCACGCTGCTCCGCCTCAGCAGCTGCAGGGGCAGGAGGCTGGCCTTCCGCGAGGGCGGGGCGGCCCCCCGGGTCCCGGGCAGCGGGGCAGGCGGCAGGCCGGCTCTCGGGGGACCCGCGCCGGAGGCCCCCCCTCCCTGCGGGGTCCGGAACTCCTGCTCGGTGCCCTCCGCCTTGTCCCTCTCCGGGACGTGGGTGTCCCGCTCCCCGCGAGCCGCCAGGATTTCCTGCACCGCCAGTCGCCTCTTCCCCACGCAGGGGGGGCTCTCGGGGCACACGGTCTGGCAGACGATGGCCACGGCGGGGCTGTAGAGGCTCGTGGTCATGCGGACCATGTGGTCAAGGACGCCCCCATCCTCCAGGCCCTGGCTGGGGCGGGAGGTCAGCGCGGACCGCAGGAACTCCGTGAGCCTCTGCAAGCAGTTTTTGGAGCCCGCGGGCTTCCCCGCCGTCTCGGGGGGCAGCGGCAGCTCCGGCTTGTACTTTTCCCCAAACTGCTCCGGGCAGGGGCGCTCCAGCAGCCTCTGCATGAGGCGGACGGCCTCCACCCGGCCCGTGTAAGTGGCCCACTCCTGGGACGACATCCCGCGGCGGGGATCCTTCGCGTGGACATCTGCCCCTGGAAAAAAAACACGAACAGGAGTGGGGGCTGCAACAAGAACTTCGCCCTCCCAAGGCAGAGAACGGAGCAAAGACAAAATTTCCAAAACCTAGGAACAGACTCTACCCCAGAACTGTGCCACTCAGATGAAGCTAACGCTGGCATCTGGCCAACACCTCATGTGTTTACTATTATATTAATAACACAACCCGCCTGGTAAGTGCTCCATTTGGTGGTTTATCTTTTCTTAAAAACAAAAACAAACAAAAAAGCCTGAATTCAGCACCTAAATCACAGAATTTTTTAAACGAATAAGATTCCGTGGCTTCTCAACGGAGAGGTGACTAGACGACAAAGGTGCCTTGCAAACACTCGAATGATGCAACTAGAACATTCTAAAAATACTAACAGTGACAGTCACTTGAAAAGCAAATGGAGCTGCATCTGTCGTCTCGCTTTTGTTTTTGTTTTTTGTTTTGAGACAGGGTCTTGCTCTGTCACCCGAACTAGAGTATAATGGTGTCATCATAGCTCTCTGCAACCTTACTGGGCTCAAGCGATCCTCCTTCCTCAACCTCCAGAGTAGCTAGCGGGGACTACAGGGACGTCCCACCACAGCCGGCTAGCGGCATCTCACTTTGAGGATTGCTGTGGGTCCTTACTGTGGGAAATGGGGGGTCCTTCACTTCTCCCACTGGGCGCTTGGCTGGCCATAGGTCTGTCACCTTTACCAGACAGTGCGCTTCTTCAGGAAAGAGGCCAAGTCTTGCTTATTTTTGTTTCCTCAACACACCTAGTCCTGGTGGGTAGGAGGCACGCATTTAACAATGGCTCCTTACGCAATCAATGGCAGTCACAGTGGCCCAGGGACCTGCCTGAGGCGCAAAGCTGGTCACGGAGAGAGGATGTCAGACTTGGGTCTCCTGACCTCAGCCCAGTGCACTTCCCACCATCCAGCAGGGCAGGTGTGATGGTGAGTTTTAGTTTTAGTTTTCTGTGTCGACTTGGTTAAGCTAAAGTACCCAGTGATTTAATCAAACATTAATGTAGGTGCTATCTTGAAGTATTTTGTAGCAGTGGTTAACATCTGTAATCAGCTGAGTTTTGTGTGTGTGTGTGTGTGTGTGTGTGTGAGAGAGAGAGAGAGAGAGAGAGAGAGGATGTGTGTGTGTGTGTGTGAGTATATGTGTATGTGTGTGTGTGTGTGTCAGAGAAGAGAGAGATTGAGAGAAAGAGAGAGAAATAGGGTCTCTCCCTGTCACCCAGCGATCATAGCTCACTGCACTTCCAACTCCCAGGTTCTAGCCATCTTCCTGGCTCAGCTCCTGAGCAGCTAGGACTACAGGCAGCTGCCACCACTCCCAGCTAATTTTTTCTTTTTCTTTTTTGTAGGGACGGGGTCTCGTTGTGTTACCCAGGCTGGTTTCAAACTCCTGCCTCAAGCAATCTTCCCACCTTGGCCTCCCAAAGTGCTGGGATTACAGGTGTGCATCATCGTGCCCAGCCTTAATCAGTTGACCCTAATCAGCCTTAATCGAGGAGATTACCCTTCGTAATGTGGGTGGGCCTCATCCAATTAGTTGAAGGCCTTCAAAGCAAAGCCTGCGTTGCTGGAGAAGAAATCCTGCCTTAACACTGCAGCATCAACACCTGTCTGAGTTCCCAGCCTTTGTTTAGACTTAGCAACCCCCATAATCACGTGAGCCGATTCTTTAAAATAAATCTCTTACTATGTACATCCTATTGGTTCTGCTTCTCGGGAGAACTTTGACTGAAACATCCCACAGTCTCCCTTATACCAGTCATTTCCTTAATGAATATTCCCAGACCAGCCATTGCCCCCAAATATCACGAAGTCGAACTTCAACTCAATGTGACGAAATCTGCATGAATTTTAACTAGGTAGTGTAGACATCGATATGGAATTGCTGTTCTATTAATCTTGGTCCAATCTCAGCCCCACATACAGTTAAAAATCATTCAGGATTTCAAGTCCCATTAGTCATAACTCTCCCGGCAGGCAATGTGGAGAAGTAGGGCAATTATCTAGTCTGTGAGCGCCTCGGGGACCCAGCCGGCAGAGGCTTCTTCATTTACATCCCACGCAGACCCAGGTGTCTGACACGTGGCGGCTGAACAGTATGCGCTGAACCGAGGGAGGCAGGGCCCCAGCCGCGTCCCTGCCCAGCAGCCCACAGTGGCCTCGCAGCCCAGGCGGACCCCACTCACCTGAGTTCGCCCGGTAATGGTCTTAATTCTGTGACACATTAAAGAATAGCCGTATTAGACGAGTGGTAATTATTTGGAACTGGAAATTGGGATGGAACTCATTAGCTAGAGTACAATTTATAAACTGACTAAAATGAAAAGGGGGCAGTAAAAATGTCATTGCAAAAAATAGATGACACATTAAACCTTAATTAATTGCATGTCACTTAAAAAAGGAACAAACTGCAAAATTAAAATCTTAATGAACATTGCTTGAAAGAGACATTTTTCAAATGCTAGTGGAAAACCAGAGGCAGCTGTCCCACGTTTTGCACTCTTCTTCCTGTTGTTCTCCTGCCTTTTCAAAATGATCTCAGAAAATACAAACATTTAAGGAACAAACGCCGAATCAGCCCTAGAATCCAAGTCATGCTTTAAATTAGGGATCCACTTCCTTAGGAAACTACTATTGAAGGTAATATTAACGGCCTGAACGCAGTAATTAAATTATGAAAGACAAGTACGGATGATTACATTTTGTGTGGATACTTTTCAGAGAATACAGAGGACTTGCGAGATGCTGCTACTTCCATCTTCTCCCCTGTAGACCACTGGCGTCCTCACCTCCCACCCAGTGTTATTTCGCCCAGGGCTGCAAACATGTAGACAAGAGTTGGGCTCCTGCCAATAGGTCAATCTGCTGCCTTGTTGAGCGCTGTTGAGCTGTCTATGCAAAATCCTGTATTCTATTCAGGCAGCAACATGCTCATTTCTAGACAATGCATCATGATCAGTCTCACCCACGGTTTCTGAACCTTGGCACTGTGGACATTTTGGGCCAGGGAATTATTTGTTGTGGGGACTGTTCTGTGCAGTGTAGGACTTTTAGCAGCATCCCTGGGCTCTACCCTCTCGATGCCAGTAGCAGCCGAAAATATCTCCAGACGTGGGCAATGTCCCGGGGGCAACGTCATCCCCAGTTGAGAGTCACATCTAACCCTAATGACTGCAATCCTGTTCCCCATTTTTCCAGCCTTCCTGACAGCTAAAAATGGCCAAGCAACCCGGGGCTGGTCACTGAGCCCTAGAGAGGGGTTCGCCTCCCAACAGAGGGGTCAGGGTGGCTGAGGCTGCCGCTTCCTGTCTAAACACAGCTCTGAGGCCTGGGGGGCTGGGGACTCTCAGGAAATCAGGAGGTGACAAGTCAACAAGCTAAGGGGAACCAGATGGCCAGGAGAAAAGAACCTGGGCCCGTGATGTCTTCAGGGAGTCCAAGGCCAGCTCTGGACAGTGACTGTCAACCTCAAGACATCCAGAGAGGTGAGAAATATAGACACCTGTTTTCTTTAAGCCACTGTCTAGTCAGGATTTCTGTTACTTGCAGAAAAAAGCTTTCCAAACAGGTGCTAAAGGGAAGAAAATCTACTTTCCACCACTCACTCTCAGGAACGCTTTTTCTGGGAGTCGCGGCCAGGCCCGTGGGACCAGCAGGAGGTGGATGGTGCGTGAAGCCCAAATGTGCCACTTTCTGTTCTATGTCTCCACCAGTCCCCAACCCTGCGTTATCCCCCCTACAAAGCCCAGCTCAGGGGCCTTTCCTGGTCACAGGGAACCACTGTGGAGCAGCCCTTGCCAGTCTCCTCCTGGGACACATCTGGCCCGTATCTTGGGCACTGTACATCTAATCTGGATGCAGGGTCACAGGAAAGAGCCCATGCTCCAGCCCAGCAGTGATGACAGGCCCTGCTGTTCCTCACCTTCCTCAATATCTAGAATCACAGGAAGAGTCAAGCGTTTTGTTTGCTCTGTGTCATGGCAAATGGCAACAAGGCACCAGAGTAGGGGGTCAAGTCTCTAGCCACCCTCGATGGGGCATCTTTGTGATGTGATTTATTGGAGTCCAGGAGGCCCGAGTCCCAGCTGTGCACAAGGGTGACACAGTTATTACCTTCAGTCCTGTTCCGATCTCACTCCCCTCCCCCTCACTCCACCTCCTGGGGTCACCTTCCAGAAAACTACCTGCCCCCAGGGAGTCCCTGTCTCGAGGTTTGCTTTGGGGGACAATATGGGATGCCT